ATGAGTCGCACATTGCTCGAAGACAGAGACGCAACTGTGTCGCACACTTCAAAAAGACAGAGACGCAACTGGAGTCACAGGATGGCCGAAGACAGAGACGCAGTTTATAGTCGCACACTGTCCGAAGACAGAGACGAAACTGATTCACACACTGCTCGAAGAGAGAGATTTTTGGAAGTCTTTACGCAGCCGGGGAGACAAACTTTTTGAGGTCACACACTGTCCGAAGACAGAGACGCAACTGAGTCGCACACTGCCCGAAGACAGAGATGCAACTGAGTCGCACACAGCCCGAAGACAGAGACGCAACTGAGTCACACACTGCCCGAAGGCAGAGACGCAACTGAGAGATGATAATCCTCCCAAGGCATCTGCCAGGTAAGCATTATACGCAAGTAAACACTATGAGGTTTGACGTAAAAATGATTATTACATCTGCCTTTTTAATAAAACCCGAGGGGATGTGCAAGTGTTATAATAAATAGTGGCTAGGAACGAGAAATCACTGAGCCGAGTTCGAATTCCAGAGAAGACATATCTTTCCCAAGGGTATTTACGCTTAAATGAAGATAACGAAATCCACTAGAATTGAATGACGGTTCTCTGATTTCTGTTATATAGGAAGGAATAAAGTGTCGCTGCCAAAACTCGAGTTTGAACATAGATCGCCAGAGATGAAACACAGGCGATCACATTATTGAGTGAATTAGACCACGTGACCATAGAGGAAGCACATATATAGAAGGTTGCCTGTGATCCCTATTTCTCTTCTATCACTATACGGATCGCTATTTCTAGTCTATCCTCTATTACTATACGGACCGCTATTCTCTACTCTATTCACTATAATATTTCTCTATTCAGATCACTATACAGTGATTACTATTCGATCGAGTATTATCGAGCAAGTACTATTAGTACAAGTGATATTCAAAGACGTCTGACACCAGTATTGTTCAACGGCGTTACTATAGTTGTATCTGCGATTGCAAAATCTCTACTACAACGAGCATTACGAAAGTGACAACGAGTATTCATTGACATCAAAATTGCAAGCTGTTATCCATTACACCAATCACACATCCACGCGTCTAATGATTTTTTTTTTTTACTCTCAAATTTAACAACTTAAGTTTTTGGCTATTTAAACCATGAAAAGATTAACAATCAAACAACGTGTTAAAGTTTCAAGAGTGCAATTAGAAAACTTGTTCGTAGATTCAAACAAATTCCGTCGGTGGCAGATGTGAAAACGCCATTGCGTGCTTGTTTACGCCACTCAGCTGAAAACATTGCTGCAGTGCACGAGAATGTGGCCGAAAATCCAGACCCCACTATTCATCATCGCTCACAGGAATTGAACCTCTCCACAACAACGTTACATCGTTTCCAATTGCACTCTCGGTTGGTCGATTATGTTGACCAAAAATATCGCCAAATGCACGAAATGCATTTCTGTTTGAACATCCATTTTCAGAATAGGCTTCGATAACTTTAACACGTTATTTGATTGTTAATCTTTTCATGGTTGAAATTGCCAAAGATTTGTTAAATTTGAAAGTAAAAGAAAAAAAATCGTTAGACGCTTAAACTTTATTCACATTTAAAATCAGTCCAAGTTATTCGAACACACTATATTTGCTGCTTGATAAGTTTGAAGATATTACTAATTTGGTTACAGTTTTGGTTTTGCTATATTATTCTTGTGGTACTTGTGGAACTTTTCTTGTGGAACTTTCAGACTCTTCATATTCACATTCTCATTGTGTCTCTGATTCAGTCTCTGATTCGGAAATTGAAGTTGTTGCTACTGTTGTTGAATTCGCTCTTTTGGATGGGTGAAGAGCTTTGGAATTTTTTTTCCAGTTTTATATCCAACATGTCCTTTGCTTTCGGTCTGAAGAATGATATAACCGCCTGTCTTCACGTCACAGCCATTCAACATTTTCATTTGAGATGGCAAAAATTTCATTCAATGAATCATATTTTTCCCGTTTCGCACATTCATCGTTCAACACTTGATCCAGTTTTGCTTGTATGACTTGAGTTGTAGAATTTGGGAAATTTAATTTCTTTTGCCATAAACTTGTTAACTCTTTAGAGATTTCCTTTAACAGTTCTTTTTTTTTTCTTATGTGATTCTTAAAATATTCTGAGATTCTTCATCTACATCCTGTTTCTTTCACTGGTAGAAGCACTTTTTATGAGACATTAGGGTTAAAGGTGGAAGGTGCGGTGGAGCAATGGATAGCGGCTCGGATTGAGTAATCGGAGGGCCGAGTTCGAATACCAGTTTAATCTATTGTATTCACCAATAGACTTGGGAAAGGTATTAATCATCTTCTCCCCCCCCAGCTATGGGTAAATAGTAGGACGGACCGGATTCTATAGCCTTGGATGGCAACTGGTCTACCGCAGAAAGAAATGGCATCTACTGCGGGAAAAAATCTGCCTCGTCAGTCATGTATCAAAAGATACATGATCGCCTAAGCGTGTATCACACATAGCACATAACTGACTGAAATTCACTTATGTGCTAATACCTTTGGGAAAAGGTATTAATCCTCTTATCCCCTCCTCCAGCTATGGGTAAATAAGAAGACAGACCTGGTTCTATAGCCTTGGATGGCAAATGGTCTACCGCAGAAAGGAGTGTCAACCTACTGCGGGCAAAATCTGCAAAACTGCGAAAGATACATGATCGTTTAAACGTGTATTACGCATGGCATATGACTTAACGATAGATACCCTGAAAGTATAAATTTATGTATAAAAGCTACGTACACCCCGATAATGGATTGAGGAATCGGAGATCCGAGTTCGAATTCCAGTCGAATCCATTTCATTCACTTACGTACTAAGACCCTTGGGAAAGGCATGGATCCTGTTCTTCTCCTCCCAGCTATGGGTAAATAGCAGGATGGCAACTGGTCTACCGCAGAAAGAAATAAAAAGGAAAAAATCTGCCTCGTCAGTCATGTATCAAAAGATACATGATCGCCTAAACGTGTACCAAGCATGGCACATAACTGGCTGATGGTTAAAAATGAATACTTGGAGACCTTTTAGTCAACGTTGCTTATTCAGGTAATTCATTTTTTTAGATATGAAATTTGAAAAAAAAAAATATCTATATCATCAAACAACACACTTTTCCCATTTGTAAATCTGGGCTCACGCTAAAATACAGTAGCCACAAAGTGTCATAAATTTCTAGATAGTTCAGAAGGTTCGATAATTTGCTAGAAGAGCACATAAATTTCGAGTAGCTTCCAGGAAGATCTAGAACGTTCCATAAAGTTCTAACCCCCCCCCAAAAAAAAAAACAAAACACAGAAAGTCATAATGCTACTATGATTTTAGAAATTTATGGAAGGGATTGACAAAAAAAAAAAAATAAACAGAATAAATAAGTTTATCAAATTATAATACAGGAAACCAATTGTTTTATGAAAAGGGTCAAAATGTCATAATATAAATATATATATATATATATATATATATATATATATATATATATATATATATATATATGTAAGCAAATATATGGATATAGATCCGACAGTATGAAGAAAATATACGGAAAAAACAAACAAAAATCCTTATATACAATTATGCTGTTTTAATAAATATGTCAACGTCGGACGTTTCGGTCTAATAAACCATCTTCAGGACATATTCATAAATATAATTGATTGTATTGATAATGTTATATTTATTAATATGTCCTGAAGATGGTTTATTAGACCGAAAACGTCCGACGTTGACATATTAACATTAAAACAGCATAATTGTATATAAGATTTTTGTTTGTTTTTTATGTATATTTTTTTAATATATATATATATATATATATATATATATATATATATATATATATATATATGTGTGTGTGTGTGTGTGTGTGTGTGTGTGTGTGTGTGTGTGTTTGCAAATTCGCCAAGGAATGTTCTTCCGTTGTAATAAACAATTTTGTTTCGATGATTCGTCATATTTTATAACTTTGACATGACTTTATATTGAAACGTCAAAAAGGTTTCAATCCGCCATATTTAATTTGCGAAATGCGCGCATTTTTACACCCACGTACGTAATTAATTATCATTATCTATCTATCTATCTATCTATCTATCTATCTATCTATCTCAGTCTGCTCAAAATATTAAATCTATATCAATCTCTGAGGAATTTACGATAGCATTTTATTTAGAATAAATTTTTTCAATTTCGTTTACATTTTTTTTTAAAACTTTGAAAATGTTTAATGTTACTTTATTATTCCATTTGTAGCTGGGATCTATTGCAAATTGCTTTGCCAGTAAGAAGAAAGGCAATAAAATGTTTTTGATGAAATACAAACTGAAATAATAATAATAATAATAATAATAATAATAATAATAATAATAATAAAAAGAATGAAGAGAAAGCGGAGACAGTAAAAAGAAGAAGAAATGAGGAAGTCACAGCGGAACAGAACGGAGAAAATTAGCCATATTCCCCACCCCAACACTTCTGCTGCTCGCATCTCCATCGTAGGCAGAACTATTATTTGAACACCTGGGAAATTATTTTCGGTACATTTTTACCTGCACACGTTTCTTGAAAAACGATACAGTTATAAAACTTAACACATACTAGAAACGTACGACGCTCAGTAAAACACAAGCAAATGTGATGATAAGTAAATATTCGGACTCTTCAAAAATTTATAATAAAAATGCTAAAGAGAAGGAATTCAGAATCTTGGCCTTCCAGTCCATGAATAGAAACTTCTTAAATCATCAGACAATACTTCGAAAGCGTATGATGTCATCACAGTCCTTTTTTGGTACGCCACCTTACTGTCCATATAGAAGAATAAGACTTGATTGCCAAATAACAATGTAAAAAAAGCACAAAATCGATTTTTTTCTCCATATTATCAACCCTTTGCAGGTTATTTAAAGCCAGAAAATATATATCTAGATTATAAACATTTTTGGGGTAGATAGTGGTTTCATGATAAAAATCTTACTAATTAACCCCTAGTTAGGGAGAGAAGAGTGATGAGTCATAGCTTTCCCAAAAGTATGGGAGCGTAAGTTATATAACTGGAATTAGAACTCGGATTTACAATTCCGAGCCATTATCCGTCAGACGACCCGCAGATCTAAGCTTACAGCATCTGGTGTTCCCAAACGGTCACCCATCTAGGTACTGTCAAGGCTCGACGTTGCTTAACTTCGGTGATCGTACGGAAACCAGTGTTTCAACGTGTTATGGCCGTAAGCCCGTTATATTAACCGCACATACAAACTTAAAAAATTAATTTATGAAAAATAAAATGACCTGGTTTGAAAGTTTGGAAAAGATTAAAGACTTAAGTTGAATAGATAGAAAATCTCAAAATTAGCCCAATCTTACAGAGCTGGTATTCGCATAAAAAAAATCATCCAGCTATTGAAAGTTCGACGTTGCTTAATTTCGGATAAAAATAAATGCAACAGTGTTTCGACGTGATGTGACCGTAAACCTAGAACCATTCAAAGTAGACTGTTACTGAATGACAATGGTTCATGAACAAAAGAGTAGGAGGAGGAGGAGGCAAGAAGTGCAGATTACGTTGATATGTAAGAGAAATGGCAGTTGAACCTAGAAGTGGTTAAGATTGGAGTGATCGAGAAAGCATCCTCCCAGGAGTCAATTTCATAAAGTAGCCTTTATTGGAAAGAAGCTGTCCTAACAGAATTTCATTTTTAATGGAATAAGAAAGGAATGCAGATGGTTCGCGTCTGTGTTCCTGGCAAGGCCGATCTTAGCTGCAAATGTCTGACCTAATCGAACTACAGAATGTAGAATGTAACTGTTTTACATTGTAAGATTTCTTTGGTGGGGTAGGGATCGATAATAATGATTTTGTGGAATTTTACTGGACAATTAACCCAAATCTGGGGGAGAAAATGTGAATTCATACCTTTTCAAAAAGGAGTTGTGCGTAAGTGAATACGTAAATAAGTGAACATAATAGATTTTGCTGTGTGCTTAGGATCATTATCTTGTTGGAAGATCCAATCAGAAGGAAGTTCAAGATTTTCAGCCGAAATCATTAAATTTGCTTCCAAAATATTTTGATATGCTGCGACATTCATTCTTCCATCTATTACTGATACGTTGCCAGTACCTTTTGCAGAAAAAAACATCGGCAAACCATGATGCTGCCTCTGACAAATTTCACTGTTGGAATTTGTGTTCTTTTGTTTGAAGGCATCGTAATCTTTTGTCCATGCATGACTTCTAGAATTACGTCCAAATAACTCAATTTTGGTTTCGTCTGTCTATAATACTCTTTCCCAATATGATTTTTCCTTATCCTTATGTTCACGAACAAATTTCAACCTGACATCTCTGGAATTTTCAATAGCAGTTTTTTTTTCGAGGGGAGCGTGATTTTAGATTGTTCCTATGAATTTTCATTGCTTATTGTCCGTTTATGACACAGATTCCTGATGAAAAGCAAATTATCCTGCAACTCTTGACGAGTAAATTTTGTTTAATTTGATATATATTAATTTTCTCGAAGATGGAAGAAATCTTCCATTGATCTTTTTGTGATCTTCTTTGGTTTTCAATAGTTTTGATATTTTTTATAAGTTTGAAATGAATGAACTAATGGTAGTAAATGGAATATTCAGGTTGTCTGAGATTTTCCTGTAACTTTTTACTTTCTTTCCAGAGCTTAACAATCAGATCTAATTTTTGAATTTGTCAATTCTTTTACCTTTGCCATGATGATAATCTTCTTGCACGAATATCAATTACAGAATGATGTTGTTTTTTTTTATTAAAAATAACTACTGATAACATTAATGGGAAAATTCTACAATATTAAAAAATTTGAATAATCTAGAGTATTAATTTGCAATTTAAAAGTTTAAAAAATCTGAAATTTGCATTTTGATTTAATGGAAAGCAAAATCACAAACACAGACATGAATAATAATTATTCTACAAAGCATTTATAGATTATATTATATATTATATTTTATTATATATATATTTATTTATATATATATATATATATATCAATGGGATTTATTTTTATGAAATCATTTTTTTGTATTCTATGCAAATTTAGTTATTATGCATTTGCGTATATTTATTTATATTAAAAGTATGTTTATTCATTAGTTGTAAATATGAATAAATTGAAAAAATTTGTATGAAAATCACTGCATATTGATTTCATATCAGACTCGATGTATTAAATAATATATATATATATATATATATATATATATATATATATATAAATATATTCTAATATTGTGTGTGGTGTGTGCTTGTGATGTATATGTATAAATATATATATATAATGTGTGTACATAGTTGTGTGTGTATGTATAATGTATATATATATATATATATAGATATGTGTGTGTATATGTATATAGCTGTGTATATATATATATATGTATGTGTGTGGGTGTCAATATCTATATATATATATATATATATATGTATATTTAATGTGTATATATGTATATGTATATATATATATCAAAATATATCTGTATTCTATATATATATATATATATATATATATATATATATATATATATATATATATATATATATATATACAGTGTATCACAAAAGTGAGTACACCCCTCACATTTCTTCAAATATTTAAGTATATCTCTTCATGGGACAGCACTGAAAAAATTACCTTTTGACACAATGAAAAGTAGTCTGTCTGCAGCATATATAACAAAGTTAATTTATTTTTCCCTCAAAATAACTCAAAATATAGCCATTAAAAGCTAAATCCCTGGCAACAAAAAGTGAGTACACCCCTAAAAAAGTTTTAAAAAATGAAAGTACACCCCTAAGAAACTACAATAAATGTCTAAATTGAGTACTGCTTTTCATTTTCCCTCCAAAATGTCATGTGACTCATTAGTGTAACTATGCCCATGTGTTCATGGGGAGCAGGTGTATTCAAATTTGTAGTGCAGCTCTAACACTCTCTCTTACCGGTCACTGAAAGTTCCAACATAGCACCACATGGAAAAGAACTCTCTGAGGATCTTAAAAACGTATTGTTGCACTACATAAAGATGGCCAAGGCTACAAGAAGATTCCCAACACCCTGAAACTGAGCTGCAGCACAGTGGCTAAGATCATCCAGCATTTTAAAAAGCAGGGTCAGTGGTTTTCAGAACAGGCCTTTGGGTAGGTCGTCCAAAGAAGCTGAGCGCACGTGCTGAGCGTCACATCCAAATGCTTTCTTTGAAAGATCGGCGTAGGAGTGCTGTTAGCATATTTGCAGAGATTAAAGAGATTGGGATTCAGCCTGTTAATGTTCAGACCATACGCTGCACACTACATCAAATTGGTGTGCATGGCATGTTTTCCCAGGAGGAAGCCTCTTTTGAAGGCAATATACAAGAAAGCCTGCAAACAGTTTGCTGAAGACATGTCAACAAAGCCCATAGATTACTGGAACCATGTCATATGGTCTGATGAGACAAAATTTAATTTGTTTGGTTCTGATGGCCTTAAGCATGTGTGGCGGCGACCAGGTGAGGAGTACAAAGATAAGTGTGTCATGCCTACAGTCAAGCATGGTGGTGGGAATTGTCATGGTCTGGGGCTTTGAGTGCTGCAGGTAGGGAGAGTTACATTTCATTGAGGGAAACATGAACTCCAACATGTCAGAAATACTGCAGCAGAGCATGATCCCCTCCCTCCAGAAACTGGGTCGCAGAGCAGTGTTCCAGCATAACAATGACCCCAAACACACATCCAAGACAACCACTGCTTTACTGAAGAGGCTCTTTAAAGGTGATGGATGGCCAAGCATGTCTCAGACTTGAACCCAATAGAACATCTTTGGGCCATCCTCAAGCAGAAGGTGGATTTTGCGCAGAGTCTCAAATATCCGCCATGTGGTGCGACGTTGTCATTGAGGGGAAGAGAAGAGTGTTATCAGTGACAACCTTGAAGCTCTGGTAAACTCCATGCCCAGGAGAGTAAAGGCAGTTTAATGATAATGATGGTGGCCACACAAAATATTGACAGTTGACATGTTGTATGTTAATATTTGACAACTTTTCCTAAAGGGGTGTACTGTAATTTTGTTGCCAGGGATTTAGCTTTTTAATGGCTT